AAAGTTGAGTCTCTCCATACATTCTTCTGAAAAATCATATTAAGAAGGAAAGATAGTAAAAGCACCCTACACCCAAGCCTACAACCTAAGCAGGAGACGGAACATATTTAATCACTGGATGGATGTGAGGGAGCAACCAGTGGAGGCCTGACGGGTCAGTGCTGGCGCCCACCTGGCAGAGTCAGGTTGGGATTATGCAGAAGAGAGGGAGGGGTACAAGAGGAGAGGGGACTCAGACCCCATCTGGTAAAGTAAACCCCAGGAAGCTGCTGAGACGGGTCGGATACCTGGTGTATCGGAGAGCTGGCTACCGGGGAGCCAAGAGGAAGGGGCTTGGGAAGTGCAGGCGCAGCGAGTGTGGCCATCTGGGGCAGGGACCAATTCTGAGGGGAACAGGTGACTAGCAGGTGTCTTTGGAAGGTGGATGGGAAAGGGAAAGGAGGAAGAAGAGGAAACGGTCTCCCCGAAACAACACAGTGTCACAGGATCATAAGACAGACCAGAGAGAAAGGAGCAGCACTTATTCAAGAAACTACACCTGAACTAAGTGCTCTTGAACTAAGAAATAAAATAAATTACCCCAATTCCACTCCCACAGATCACCTGCTACTGCGGGTCCAGGAAAGCTAACATATGTAAACATAAACAACAATAGAAAGAACCAGAATCAAAACAGTGTTAGAAAAGGAATTTAAAAAAATAGCAAGTGAGAATTCAAAACTTTTGGCAAATAAAAACATTCCCCTACTACGGGGGGAAAAAAGGGCAGAAGAAAACTGTAACATGATATTTCAACATGAATTAAATATAATTAAATCAGAACTGCTGATATAAAAAAATACCGTGAATCAAAAACTTAAAAACTCAGACACGGAATTAAGGGAAGAAACTAAAAGAAAAGAGAAAATCTCAGAAATGAATGGGTATTATATACAACTGAAGGTATATGAAAGCAGATAGAGACTAACAATGAAAACAGAGAAGATAATTGATTCAAAATAAAATATTAAAAAGTAAAAAGGATCAGAAGGAAATGGATAGAAACAAAAGATATGTAAATAAGGCTCAATAATATCAACAATTGAAGTCCCTGAAGAAGAAACACATAACAATAGAACATAAAATTTAAAACTATAATTTAAAGATCTCTGAAATAAAAGACCTCAATGTACAATGTGTATCTGGGGATACTGAGCCAGCATGGTTATCTCTTAGACTTTAAATAATAAAAATAGTGATAATAAAAATCTTCTGGGCCTCTAGGCAAAAGGGCCAAGCCACTTCAAAACGAAATAAAATCAGGTTGACATTAAATTTATCCACAGTAACATACAAACCAGAGTGGGGTGACAGTTTCAAGAAAGTCAAGGAAAGGCAGCACGAGACAGGAATTTTCTATCAGTTCAACTGTTTATCAGTCCTCAAGGTTATAGAAAATGTTTTAATAGACGTGCAAGAATTCTAAGAATCCTGAGAAATCTACTACAGAATGGTTTTTCCAACTAAGAGATAACTGAGAACACTTTAGAAATGGGCAAATGGTGAACATGTGACATATTGTAGGTCTGAGACTAAAACAAAATTGTGGATAAGCACAGACAAGCAGTATTACATATATCACATGCTCTGACAAAGTAGAATTCACACAACTAAAGATAAAACTGGCAGAGAAGGGCGAGAGCCGGCAAAGTTGAATAAGCTAGTTGATTTCCTTAGAGGTAATAAGTGGGAGTCAAAGATGCCGACAAACCCAAGAGTAGAACCTGAGTTTTAAAAAAGGAACTGAGTGGATTATATAAAGATAGTAGTATAATGGTGAACACTGGAATAAAATATAAATCATTCTAAATATTAAAAGGACAAACAAAAGGTCAAAGATAAAAGTAAATATAACACAAAGTAATATGACAAAACTAAGAATAAAAATGCCAGTCATAGCAATGCACATAAACTCATCTACTAAAATAAAATGTGTTTTGACTGGATTGTAAAGAGAAACCTAACGCGGCACCTAACCATTACATAATACACATTCTTTCTCAGTCCACACGGCCTAGACACCAAGAAAGGCTTGGTGTGGGCCCAAGTCTCAAATTTAAAAGAACTGAAATAAGTATGTTCCCTGACCAAAACAGGATTAAAGTAGAAATCAATAATATCATTAGAGAAAACTTGAAATATTTGGAAATTAAGCAATATACTTCTAAATACATGGGTCAAAAAAGAAATCACCATTTTCACCATTTCCACCATTATACTTTGTAATAATTTCGACATAAATTCTACCTTGTCAGATGCCAAGACTGCAATTTCAGCTTTTTTTTAGGTTTTAAAAAAGACTTAATTTTTTTTGTTTTGTTTTACTGAGAAATAACTGACATGCATTGTTGTATAAGTTTAAGGTGTAGAGTATGATGACTTGATTTATATACGTTGTGAAATGATTACCACAGTAGGTTCAGCTAACAGTCATCTTCTCATAAGGATATAATAAAAAGAAATGAGAAAAGAATAATGGAAAAAATTATTTTTATTTGCAGGTAAAACTGTTATACTTTGCTGTACTAGCACTTATCAAAGACAGTAATACAATGTCTACAGAATACTGAGGAGAAAAGATTTGACAAGAATTCTTTGTCAAATTATTAGTATTTATGTTTGGAGGTAATAGAAAGATATTTTTTCATATTCAAAGACTAAAAACTCACCATTTATGTACCTTTACTGAAAATTACTTTAAAATATTAACCAACCCATCAAAAGATTGATTAAAATTAGGGACTGAAGGACAGGAAAGATATGTAATAAAAGAAGTGTTGGTAATATTAAAGGTAATTAAACATACATATAAATCTGTATATATCTGTACATACAGGTATATATAATATATATATAAACATACAGATATATAATTTCTCTATATGTGATTACAAAGCTGGATGCAGAAGAAAAAACTCTTCTGGAAAAGAAGAGTTAAGAGATTTACGATGTTATATTTCAGAACGCTGGGTCTGTGATGTCAGACTGAATGATCAAACACTTGAAAGTAGAAAATAGGCAGGAAAATATTGATCATGAAAATAAACACACAAAATTTTCTTTGGGTACTTCTGCTTCCAGCCAAGACTGAGTAACAAGCAGGCTGGACTTAGTCTCCTACTTAAAACCACCCAAAGAAAAATAGACAGAATATTTTTAAAAAAGCAGTTTTCAAAACAATGGACATCAACCAAAACACAGTGGTTCCTGAGTGATACAAACAAAGGAAGTGAGCCCTACCTTTGTCCTAACTTACTATCTTGAGAGCCCTGTGCAGGGAAGGGCACTGAGGCACAGCCCAGTGGACTCCCTGAGTTCAAGAGCCAGAACTGAGAGTCCAGGGAGACCAAGAGCGCTAAAGGTTATAGGACAGGGTGCCAGAGAAGAGAAAACTGCTCAGAAAGAGATTTGCAAAGTGTCCCCCAAGAGTATCACAGTGCTAGTAAGAGCTTAAAACAAAGTGGTAGCACAAAATTTTCACTAAAAAGAAAATATTATTCAATGATAATAATAAAACTAGTATTTTAAAGTGGGTCTAAGAGGAATTGATAACTAGGCAACTTATTGAAACCTCTGGTGCTCCCAGCACAGCCAATTCTTGTTTTTCACTGGTTACTGGCATTCCGATTTCATGAGACCTTTCTGAAATTTTCAAAAACTACCATCACCTTGAAAATGGTATTTCCAAGTAAATATCTGACTGGAAAAAAGTTGCAGACCTCTGGGCACAGATCACGTGTTTCTGGCATTTGGCTGTCCACGTGTTTCTGCTGCTTCGGAAAAGAGGCTCCAGATGTCAATGTGACCGATGGCTTTCTGGGTCAGCAGGCAGGGGTGCCAGATGCCCTGCCACGGATACTAAATGAAGGCCTGCCTGATGCTGTGAGAAGCATCAACTTCACCAGGGAGAGGGGACTAAATCACTTGTTTCAGGATCTTTTTATCAAGAAAGGGGAGCAGAATGAGAGTGGTTCTTCACTTACTAAAGGAAAATTTGCTGGATCTCCAGAGGAAAGGCTTAAAATGCTTGATTAAACACTGGACAGCAATTTTACTTTTTTAAAAAAATAGAAAAGGAACGTGTACTTCCTCATGGCTTAATGGACTTGGACAATATTTTTTACCATATCTTTTGGGTAGAGCCCTGCAGTCAACGTTATGCATGTTCCTCAAGATTCAGAAGGGCAGCAACAGAAGAATTAGGAAAGATCATCAAGAGCAAAGATGTGTCACTGGAGACCCAGGCTAAGGTCATCTACACCAGCATACTCCCAAGTACTAGTGTGGATACAAAAACTGGACCGTGAAGAAGGCTGATAGGGAAAAAAATGGATTCATCTGAAATATGGTGTTGGAGGAGAGCTCTACGGGTACCCTGGATGCCGGAAAAACAAACATGTGGGTCCCAGAGCAGATGCAGCCTGAACCATGGCTGGAGGCAAAAACGGCAAAACTGAAGCTATTCCACTTTGGGCACATCATGGGAAGGAAGAGGTCTTCGGAAAAGACAACGATGCTGGGAAAAATAGAAGGCAGCAGGGAGAGAGGACTATTAAATATGAGAGGGACTGACTATATAAAAGAAGCCTTAGGCTGCTGAGGACAGACCATTGTGGATACTACGCATTCATAGAGTTGCCAGGAGTCAGAGCTGACACACACAATCACATAGAAAAAAAGTGCAGCCAATGTCTAATATTACAAAAATAAGTTCTATCTAAATTTTTGTGCCTATGTTTCGGTACCTTTTCCTGTAAGTTCATATCTTTCAGTCTTAAAGAGGCTTATGATTCAAAAACTTGAAAAAAAATTTACAGTATTTCCAAAGGCATTTCTTTTTTTAAAAAAAATTATTAGCTGAACTACCATTTTCACACACAAGCTATCATTCTCACTCAGCTGAGTCAAGCTGTTCCTGGAGTGTCTGTCCTGGGAGGAAACACCGAAAGATGCACCGGTACCTGATGGTTTTCCACACGTCGAAGCCGTCCAGAGGTTTGGTACCATTCGTGCTGCCCCCGGCCAGCTTCACCAGCGTTGGCAACCAGTCGGAAATGTGGATGAGCTCCCGGTTCTTCACACCCTTCTGCTTCAGTAAGGGGCTGGCCACGAAGCCCACCCCGCGAACGCCTCCTTCCCACAGGCTCCACTTTCTTCCTCGAAGGGGCCAGTTATTGCCCCCGGCCAAAGTCTGCCCGCCGTTATCTGAAACACAATTAGGTGCTGGTGTGAGGACAACGTTTAAGAACAGAAGACTTCTATGTGTGTTGTTATTAAATGGTGCTTAAGAACTAAAAGAGATAACTCCTCCTTTCCCTCTCCTGTACCAACTCCCCTTTTCCCACTTGAAACTCCCCTCCATCACACAGACATACTCAGAGCGCAGAGTGGCACAGACCTGACACAAGACCAACCAATCCTCTGTGGACAGGGCCACTAAAAAACAAAGATGCCTCCTGAGGGTGACTGCTTGGGGCGGAGCCTGTGCTAATCAGTACACTGGGTTTCAAACGCATGTGTGCAGCTTGGTGTCACAGAAGAGAATGAATCCAAGGAAGCTGAGCCCTGCTGGTATGTGAAAAGAAATCTGTGAGTTTCACTTAGCGACTTAAAGCTCCTCACAGGTGGGGACAGCAGACCTCTTTGTATTCCTCCTGGAAAAGTTTTCTAACATTTAAACTGGTAACTGAAGTAACAGTCTACTCCCTGGTGACTTGAATTCTTTCNATTCCTCCTGGAAAAGTTTTCTAACATTTAAACTGGTAACTGAAGTAACACTCTACTCCCTGGTGACTTGAACTCTTTAAGTGTGAAAGTTGAAGATTTCTCCAGTGGGCTAAAGGTCTCTGTAAACAGAGCAGTTGGGTGGAAAAAATAATTGCAAGAAAAATTCCTCCCTTCTCGACAGGATGATGGCAAAACAAAAAGCCTCATCATGTGCTGTGCCAGGGGAGAGAGGGTTTTCTTCCAACACAGCTGGAGGAATGGAGGACACTGGTGAAGCCAGAGAGGAGTTACAAGAGCGACAGAAGTTAAGTATTCTGCCAGCCGGTTAGGGCCCAGAGTTAGAAATTAGGTTGGGCTGTAGAAAGTTTAGTGATATTTCTTGTGTAGTGAGGTTTAGAATCATATTATCTTCAAAAGTATCCACACACTTACATGACGTTAGAGATATATTTTAAATAACACTTATTTGCATGTATATGATACTTTAAACATTTTTTCAAAACCACTGTTATCCAAATGAACCACATGAGGGCAGTAATACAGACCTGCTCTACAGAACCTTATGAATAAAAATCTAACACAGAAATGAAGATCTATCAAAGCCACAGGACACACATGGAAGGAAAGAGAACTAATATGTGTTAAGCAAGCACCTACTATGCGCCAGGCACCACTTTAATTTCACATTATTTCTCATGTTATCTGGAGTCTTAGATAGGAAGCCTGATGCCAGCCACTCACTAGCTGTGTGAGGTGGGACAACAGGCTGCCTCACTTTATCTTTAGTGTGGAGATAATAATTGCTATCTCACATATTATGGTGACAATTAAATGACACCATTATAACCATTGCTTGGTTGGGTGCCCGGCACAACCTAAGTACTAAATAAGTACTAAATAAATGATAGCTAATATTTTAACAACTCAGATAGTCCAGTGTTATAACCATTTCGTTGCTTAACAAACGAGATGTGAAAAGGCTGAACCAATAAGTGGCAAACTGAGGATTCAAACAAGGTCTGTGCGGCTCTCCGGGAACCGTATGCTCCCAGAGTGCCATGCTCCCGATGTCCTTGACCTAGTGAGGGCTTTAGGCCTTAGGCCACAGAAAGCTTCCGTTCCCTATGCAAACCATATGCAGTCAACCTCAGCAAGCTGTACACTCTTCCTATGACAGCAGGAGAGCTTCTTCAAGGCAACCGTTCCCTTTGGAGGAGAACCACCTTTGTTGCTGGTGGGTAAGAAATTCAAGGATCTCCTGCCAAGGCAGCTCCTGAGTAAGCCCTTCACACATCCCGTCCTCGGTTGTTCTCTGCTCCGTGAAGGGAGGGAGAAGAGCCTAAAGCTGGATGAGATGAAGGTAACAATTCTTCAACTCCTGGGGGGGTGACAGTCAATTTCACCTGCTGTCACAGACTTACAGGAACCTCTCCTTACACCTCACATCTCTTCTTGACAAAAACCCAAGGCCGAACAGTCACCTAAGCCAGTGCATTGAATACACACTGTGTTTCACATGAGCCGACGTGTATATTCACAACAAGGGCACCATCTTTAGATAGAGGGATTCCTCCATGTTCCTCACACTTCACAGAGTATGTCACCCATAACCAACACACCAAAATGTCAACGGTGCTGTTCATGTCATACAGAAATACATTGGGAAGAATTGCTTATATTCTACCCGGAAGAACAAGAATGGCAGAGACAGCACTATTATTTGCTCTGGATTGTTATAAATGACACTGGCTCCATGTTTGTAGAAGATGCCTGTTTTCTCCATTTTAAATAGATGCACTTTTGAGATATGTCAAATGTCTCTTTCAGTTGCACATATTTGTTAGTGTTCAATACAAAAACGCTGGATAATGATGGTGGTGGAAATACGAGTGAAGATGTGGGGAAAAGGGCGGCTGCATCTGGAATCTGGTTCCAGGAGCAGCCCTTACGTATGACTTAGAAAGGAAAATACTCTAGGCTGGAAAGAGAACTTGGCCGCCGTCGCTACTGTAGGAGCTGGAAGGTGCGTCCTCCTAGTCGGGGAGGGCGCTCCGCGGCGAGTGTTACTGTTTTTGCCATTAGCTCAGCGTGATGTTTTTGCCATCAGCAATGATAAACCATTCTACGGTCAGTTATCAATGTGGCTTCCTCCACATTTCTTTAGAGCACTCCAGAGATAAAACACTGGCAATTCACACCTGTGACTTGCTCTCTTGGGCTTCCCAGTCACAGAGCCAACTGGACACTTGGCTACGGGAAGAGGGCAATTTAGCTTTGTGGGGCGAGGGGGGGCGGATGGGGGGGCCGTGTCTCCACAGGCAGCACCGGGCTGACGGCTGCCACTGATTAGAAAAGGGGCAGAACCCACTACAGGCTTAGGCTTTTGAGAAGCAGGGTGCTGTCCATCAGTTCTAGCACAGTCTCCCCAGTATTTCAAGGAGCTGGACACAAAACTGATCAGGGTAACAGCTAGAATCAAAGAAGCTCATCTGAAACAAGGTAGAAAGGGGGCTTCCTATATTGCTCACTTAAGTCTGACATAAATTAAAAGGGGCCAATTGTATTGTGAAAGACAGTAATTAGTCTTTTGGGGGTGATTACTCTGTGGAGTATACAGAAGTTGAATTACAATGGAACTTATCTAGTGTTATGTACCAATTTATATATGTATCACCTTATGTATTGTTATATACCAATTTTATCTCAATAAAAAAAAATTAAAAATATAATGGAACCACCACCATTTCAAACATGTTTCTTTTCATTTCCCCTCCTAATTTTCTTTGGGCAAAAATTAATTTTTGTTCTTGTTAAGAATTAATTTTCACGAGAAAATTTTCTTGTGTCATTTCCTGACTGACTTATTAAAAAAACTTCCAAATCCGAATAAGATGACTCTAACTAGTAAAAAGGAAACTATGAAACATTTTTTTCAGGGAAATGATTTTTCAGCAATGTTTTTTGGCAGAGGGAAAGGCTAATTATAAAACCTTTGCTGTCCAGAAAAGAAATGTCAAAATAAAACAAATGCTGTCATATACAGATGGTAAATTTCACTTTATTATTCATTATTGAACAAAAATAACTGTCAAAAAGTCACGGAAAAACATCAGTTAGCCAAAGATCTGAGCAAAAGCATTAAGTATACGACAATGAAGCCTCATCCATATCCAGCTGATAAAAATTGAGATGGAACCGTGACAACATTGGCTTTCAGGACTACTCCCCACACGAGGCAATGTTGTGGCTGGGCTATGGCTGCCTGCCCTGAACCGTCAGCATATATCTCCCTCTCACTGCCCCCCAGGGATCTTTTAACCTGGCTTCCCCAACACATCCTCTGCACTCTGCTCTGGGGATCATGAAAGGAAAAGCAGGGAATGCCCCCGCAGCCTTGCACCCGGGCCGGGACTTCCCTCTGAACAGGGAAGTGTGACAGATGAGTAGACGTGTTTTCAAATACCATGAAGCCTCTTTGTACAAACAAAGGGCCTGCTTGGTGATGATGGTTGCTTCTTTTAGACTATTTTTTTACGTGACTAAAATGTAAATTGGAGAGTTAACATGTATCTTAGCAGTTTGTCTAGAACATGGGTGGGGAACCTTTTTCTGCCAAGGGTCATTGGGATATTTATAACAACATTTGAGGGCCATACAAAATTATCAACTTAAAAATCAGCATGCTATATTTGGTCAAACATTTAATTAACTCACCCCTAATGTGATGGCTGGAACTGCTTCTCTTCGGTGAGACCTTGGCAGGACCAGACCAAATGATTTCATGGGCCCTATACAGCCCCTGGGCCTGATGTTCCCCACCCCTGGTCTAAAGGGTTAGGTAAATTCCATTTCCTCTAACTAAAAGATTTTTGAGACCATATCTACCCAGATACTCAATTCACAGCCTGACGCTCTTTTCCTCTTGCTCTACATTCAGCCCTTTCTGATAGGATGTGCATTCATTTCTGCCAAGTGTGTCTTTCCAGGGGGTTCCAACCCAGCCCCACTGCCATGGGTCTGCCCTTCCCCTCACCTGGTCTCCCCTAAGGTAACCTACAGGCTGCTTCACGCTGCTGTCAGAGGCATCTTTGTGAAGCCCCAAACCAACAGGCCACATCCATGTTTAAAGACCTCTGATTGCTTTCCAAACAGCAAAAAGTTCCAACTTCTGCCCAACATAGAGAATCCTTTACATCTGGACCGACCTACTTTTGGAGCATCAACTCCTGCCCTTCCCCATAAAAAATGCCCAGGGCTTCACGTAGAACTAACCTCTCCCTGTTGATGGACAGGTTCACGCTGACGTTGCCTTTGTACATGTTGGTTTCTTTGCCTAAAAAGTTCGTCTTCCCCTTCTCTCCTGCCGGACTTAAATTTTCAGTCCCAGGTTAAATGTCACACCTTGGGTGAACTTTTCAGTTACGTCCCAGTCTTTCTCTCTCCTCTGTACTTCTACCACACTTTCTAACCACCTTTCT